TTACCATTTGCAACAACATGGATGGAACTGGAGAGCATTATGCTAAGCGAAATAAGCCAGTCAGAGAAAGATAAATATCACATGATCTCACTCATATGTGGGATATAATGATCAACATAATTTGATGAACAAGAATAGATGAATCTACAGACAAATGGTAGGGGAGGGGAGGGTTAGAGAGCAACCAAAGGACTTGGTTATGCTAATATGCATGCATACAATGGACACAGACACTGGGGTGGTGGGGGCTTGCCCAGGGTGGGAATGGCTGGGGGGTAGGGGAGATCAATTGGGGAAAAAGGAGACATATGTAAAACTTTAGACAATAAATAAATAAATAAATAAATAAAAATATTTAGGAATATATATTTATATATATATATATGGAAATGCAAAGGACCTTCAATAGCTAAAATAACTTCAAATAATAAAATTGGTGGACCCACATACCTGATTTCTAAAACTTATAAAGCTATAGTAATCAAGACTGTTTTACTGGCATAATGATAGATAAATAGATCAATGGGACAAAATATAGCCAAGGCAATTCAGCGGTTTCTCAATAAACTTATCAACAACTGTTGCTAGGACAATTGCAAAACAATAAACCTTAATCCTAATCTCACACCATATTATAAGTTAACTCAGTCAAAATGGATCATAGACCTAACTTTAAAAGCTAAAACGATATAACTTTTACAACACAGAAGAAATCTTAAAGGCTAGATTTGGGAAATATTTCTTAAATATGTCCAGAAAGCATGAACATTAATAAATTGGATTTCATAAAAATCAAAAACTTCTGCCTTCAAAATAAAATGGAAAAACAAACCACATCCTGAGGAAAAATATACCTGTAAAGGACTTGTAACTAGAACACAGAATTCTTGCAACTTACTAAGATAATCCAACTTTTAATGGGGAAAAGATTTGAATAGATAGTTCACCAATGAAGATGTATGGATGGCAAAGACATGAAAATATGTTCAATGTCGTTATTCATTAGGAACATCAAATTAAAACTGTAATGAGGTGCCATAACAACCCATTTAGAAAGGTTGAGAGACCAATCATACCAAGTGCTGTTGAGGCTATGGAGCAACTGGAATTCTCAAACACTGCTAATGAGAATGGAAAATCCTGGCAGAAAATCAGTTTGGCAATTTCTTTTAAAAATAATTTTACCCATCACTCTACTCTTAGATATTTACCCAAGAGAAGTTAAAGAATGTGTTCATACAAAATCTTGAACATAGCAGTTCAGTAATAGCCAAAAACTAGAAACAACCGAAGTGTCCATCAACAGGTGAATGAATGGCTAAACCAATTGTGGTACAGACATATACTACTCAGCAATAAAAAGGAGAGAGCTACCAATACACACAACACAGTGAATAAAAGAAGCCATACAAAAAAAGAGTATATAGTATGATTCCATTTATATAAAAGTCATGTGCAAACTAATCTATAGTGACAGAAGCAGATCAGTGATTCCCTGGAGACTATGAAACAATTAGACCAAAAACATGAAAACAAATGAAACAAAAAATACCCAACACTTACCAGTAGCATAGATGGCTTTGTAAAGCAAATAAATACTCATTGAAACTCTCAATGGGCTTCTCCTGTAGCACGTAGTCAATGCGTTGGCCTCCATTCAGCATTCCCACATTGATGGGGAGGACTTCTTCTTTAACTGCCTCAGAGGTCTCTTCTGTGTTAACATCTGGATATGGAAGAACCATAATAAGATCCTAAAGCCTCCAGGCTTCCTTACCTCTATTCGGACTCCAAGTTTACTGTAAGATGAGCTACTCTCTCTTCAGAAAGCTCTCTCCCATCTTCTTTTAAAGGCTCTCAGGTCACACTGATTTTATCTAATCCCTGTTTTCTTTCTTGCACCTTTGATAGCTAATTCATTTACCTTTAGTTTATAAACGAAATGCAAGCAGGGATAAAACTCTTTAGACAGTTGAAAACTAAATAAAAAAATACAATGTTAACTGTAAAACTAAGAGGAGAGTATCCTAGCTAGTCCCCAGCCAGGGAAACAAAACTGGCCCATGAATACACAGACATTCCCCTGTAAAAGGTGCTTCAGAGAGTAGGCTCTTAACATTACCCCCATAGTTCCCAAGTTGGGGATGTTTTAATAAAGTCTCATTATCAATGCTTGGCTTCTCTTGATATTCTTCTTCACAAATAATGTTCTTCCATAATTTGTGGGTATTAAATGATAGAAAAGGCTAGCAGAGATGAAGGCCCATCATGACTCATAGCATGGGTCCTATACAATAAAACAGGGTCAAGTAAGAAGTCCCTCTGAGAATAAGAACTATACACCATGGAGTCCCTCGTATCAGGCCTGATGTAGGAAATCAGTGTGCACAGTGTCACTGACCACTAGGCTTCTCTGAACTTGACACAGGTTCTGCTTCAGTTTCTTCTGTAGTTTCAGAAGTTTGTAAGACAGGGTCTGGAGTTCTGGTGAAAGACTTCCAGGCCATCCGCAGTGAACCTAGCAAGTTGTTCTTAAGGTCCATACTCATCCTGGTCAAGCCCTCTCTCAGTTCTGAAACACATATGAATAAAGAAAATTACATGGTTTACAATGAGTTTAGGGCCCAATACAACTAAACAAAGTGAATTAGGTCCAGTCAGTTTGCATTGACCAGAGGTCTGGAATTAGCAAGTTCTATACTCAGTCTTACCTAAGTGCATCCGCTTCCTGCCTTTATGATGTGGGATCAGCATTGGCTCAAATTCCACTCCTGGGACCACCATTGGTTCAATCCTATAGGCCACAGGATCAAACTACATAGGAAAAACAATAGCTACCTATACCTCTGCTGAAGATAGTCTGAGGAACTGCTAATGTTTATCAGGCAAGAATGATTATAAGCTCATTTTTTTTAAATGCACAGTTGTTCTGCCATATCACTTCCAAATTCATACTATTTATGTTATCTCATTACTAGAGAAGAGTACATAAAAAGTAAAACAACACAACAGAAAATTGTATGCTCTTTACCATAAACCCTAATATTCAGGTAAACCACAAGAGCTGTCCAATGCTTACAGGGTGATAAATATTGAAGAAACCTTTGCATGTTGGAAATTTATAGTTGGGATCAATTCTTTTTAGTCCTCGGACGGTAAGAAACATTCCAATGGGAGATCCAAAGGCAAAGAATATTTCTGGTTTATAGATGAGTCGAGGGTATTTTACGGATACCTGGAAAGAGAAAATAAAAGCATCACTCTTACTCTATTTTTTTTTCCTTTTTGTTAATCCTCATCTGAGGATATTTTTCCATTGCTTTTTCAGAGAGAGTGGAAGGGAGGGAGGGGGCGAAGAGGGAAGAGAGAAAAAGAAAGAAACATTTGATGTGAGAGAGATACATCGACTGGTTGACTCCTGCACCCAACTGGATTGGGTTGGGGAGCAAACCTGCAACCCAGGTACATGCCCTTGACCAGGAATTGAACCTGAGACCCTCTGTAGGCCAACGCTCTAACCATTTAGAAACACTGGCCAGGGCTAAAAGCATTTCTCAATAACAAGTTACATCTGTTCTTACCATATGAATGGTAGGCGATAAAGTGAACAAAGAGAATTCGTATTGTTACCTGTCCAATGCCAACATCCAGATAGTCATTTCCAGTATCATCAGCACTACTGCAGAACTCAGATTCTTTGGGGATATTAGACATATTCAACCCTGAAGCTGATTGTGGAGTTGATGTATTAATGCCCTAAAGAATAAAAAATAGTTTTGTGGAACTATGCAGTAAAAAATATCCAAAGGATTATATAGTTTTCTACTGGTTTGAAAAAATGTGTGGCAAAGTTCTGAAATGATAGCCAGTAATTCCAAGACAAGTCTCTCAGAAAACAAGATAAAGCTGATGAAAACACAATCAAGTTGATAAAAACAAAAGTTGGCTTGAATTATGAATTGACATCCCTATTTGCTCTGAAATGATGAAAGTGGTACACAGCCATCTAGGCAACCATCATGAGAGGAAACAATAGCAGAGCACTGTGGAAAAGAATGTTGAGGATTGCTAAGGAGTTCAATAAAGTGCTATACCTTTCTGATGAAAGCAAGTAGAATGTCTCTATGGGTATAGAAAATGATGCAAATACTGGGCCTTAAATAAGAACTGAGCAACCTGCTAAAAAAGTTGAAAAATAATTAACTACTAAAATACATAAAGGAATTTAGGGGCCAAACAGAATGTATTAGTAGTATTACAACATGGATAAACATTGAGTATGTTATGCTAAGAGAAAGAAGACAGTTACAATAAGGCACATATTGTGTGATTCTATTTATATGAAAATGCCCAGAATAAGAAAATCCATAAAGACAGAAAGCAGATCAGTGGTCCACAGCAGGGAGGAATAGGGAGTGACTGCTAAGGGGTATAAGGTTTCTTTTGGTGGGGAGGAGGGTAATGGAATTAGACAGTGGTAATGGTAACACAGCTCTGAATATATTAAAAACCACCGAATTGTATATTTTTATTTATTAGAGAGAGAAAAACATCAATTTGTTGTTCCAATTATTTATGCATTCATTTACTGATTGATTCTTATACTAGTACTAGGAGCCCAGCGTGCGATTCAAAATCACGCGGTGCTGCCCACCCTCGGGTCCGGCCCTGCCTCCCTCTCTGGCCCTTAAAGCAGCTGTGGCTGCTGCTGATCAGGCCCTCCCCCAGCGCAGGCGCGCAGAGGCCCCTGCCGCCCCGCCCCTGTCCGGTTGACCTGTTGCAGCGTCCCAGTTAATTAGCATATTTCTCCGTTTTATATATATATATATATATATAGAACAGAAGATGTGCTCTGATGGGGGATTGAACCCACAACCTTTGGTGTATTGAGACGATGCTCTAACCACCTGAGCTACCCAGTCAGGGCTAAATTGTATACTCTTCAAGGAAGAATTTTATGGTATGAGATGTAAATTATATTTCAATAAAGCGGTTATAAGACAAAAAAAGAAAAATGAAAATTGTAGCAAGAGTCTAGGGAAGATATGACTTTTTAAGCTAATAATACTGTCAAGGCATCAATAAATGTGTTTAATTTCTTGAATAGAGCCAAAAACCAATTAACAAAATTATTTAGCTCTCTAGACTTCACAAAGCAAAAGGATACAAGGATGTAAAAAATTGTTTACTGCTATAAGTTATATATATTAAGCACATACCACTGAATTTTCTCTGGTGCTAAAGTAATTTAGTATCTTCTTTCTTGGTCCTAAGGGAATTCCAATTTCCTGAAGATCTTTGTCTGTACATAAAGCCTAGGCATAGAAAATCAAATATCTTTCTTATTTCTAGGTATAATAAAATCAATTAAATGCCCTGTTCTCTTAGAAGGATAAGGCTTAAGTACTCTGCTATTCTTTGATTTATATTACTAGGGCTTCCTAGTAGTACATCATTAATAACTTAGAGAAGGAAATAGTATTTTATTCATAAAAAAGCCTAAAGAAGAATTTAAAATATCAATACTATAGTATCAATGCTATATTAATATAGATAACACTGTATTATTTTAAAAAATCAACAGAAGTAGGTATCTAACTTCATGACAGAAAACCCCTCCTTTGATTTCCATGCTCACATGGATGTCACATCCTGAGAAATATTATATTCCTACTCCTGGACACAAACAGTAAGAACATAAAGCAAACAGAGAGCATGAAACAGAATAACAGTCAAGACTCAGCTGATGTGCTACTCACTTGACTAGGGAAGTCTTCCTTCACCCTCCCAAACTAGATCAGTTCATCCTACTATGCATTCTTATACCACTGTGCACTTTTCCTACTTAGAACTTATCACAATTGTAATTTAATTATGTTTTCGATTACTTAATATTTGTCTTTAGCCGTAAACTATAAACACCATGAGGTTAGGGACCATTTCTGTCTTATTCACCACTCTATCTTTAGTACTTGGTGTATCATAGTAAAGATTTACTAAATATCCACTGAATTAACATATCGAAACCAGAGTAAAAACACAACATAAGTGGCAAAAAAAAACAAAAAACTAAACAAGCAAATATCTATAGTAGTGCTCTTGAAAGTATAACAGAAAATAAGAGTTGGAATAGTTACTGGTCATTTCTTCTTGCTCTCTTTTTTTCTGAGATGTGCTGTTTTTTAATCTTTGCTCTATTGCTATATGCATATCAATATGACTTTTCTGAACTTTAAACTCCCACAAAGCAAAGATCACTCGATATGATTTTAAGACACATAAATAATGCTAAAGAACATTACTAATGATAACAAAGTATTTATGACTAAAATGCTTCCAAAGGGCAGGCTCTTACTAAGCAGTATGATGAAGCAATAAAAAATATTAAAAATGGTATGGCATGAAGTTATAAAAGGTTATTTTTTACCAGAGCTTTTTTATCTATTTTCTCCTTCTCAAAGATACTAAAGAATTCAGAGAGTTGAAGTTTCTTCAGATCTTCCTCTATTGTCGGTGTGTCTCCTTGATCCATATTTGGCGAATCCTAAAAATTAAATTATAAAGCTCATTATTCTCTACATTCCTTATATTTTCCTTTATTAATACCATTTTACAATAAATATATGTACTAGCTAAGATTTCCACAGAAATGTATCTTAACTTTAAATTGTGATTTATACAAAATATAAATTAAGAGGTGCTGATCTTTAAGTTTCTGCAACTTCATTTGAAACTTAATATGTTTTAAAATAAATGAATGAGTGAATAATTATCAAAGCATTGTTCACTATCATTAACAAAACATTTACTGAGCTCTTATTAGGGATATAGTCTAAGACATAAAACAATCTAAGGCAAAGCCCCTGCCCTGGGAGAACTCACAGGACACTTGCATCAAAAAGAGAAAAAATATAAGACAGTTTTGCTAAGTACTAACTCAGCACTAGAGATAAGTGTTCAGAGGACTTTATTTTACTAAAAGATGTTTAAACACTAAGTCCTCCCACTGCTTTCAAACAATTACTATAAATTATATCAATCTGTATCTAATTCATTCTTAATTTTATCATATGCAAACTCCATTTCAGCTCAATTTTATAATTCTAATAGATCAGTAGTACATACTTATAATGGAAAATAAGATATGTATAGTTATTTTCGACTGGCAAATATTTCTAGAAGTGCATTGCTATCTTGCTTCTATCATCAAAGAATGACAGAGATAATCACAAGTCTATTAAAATAAATGTAAATTTGAAGTTATGATATGAGACTAAACTAAGTGAAAAAATCCTTACTAAGCAAAGAGAACCTATCTGAACATCTAAATTACCTTTTTACTGTCAATATCCCCCAAAGAATCTTTCTGATTTGTTAGGATATCAAACAATATAAGCGAACCTATAAGTAAAATAGAAGAAAGAAGGGACAATTTCTAAATAGTTGTCTTTTATACAAAAAAATAATAAGTCAATTACCCATGTAGCAAAATCTATGAAGCAGGGAGTCTTCTTTCCACTCCACCACCACCCTTCCAACCCTTTCCAAATTCTTCATCACAGACCAGTTCTAGACCTCTGCATCTGATACTGATAAAAGACATTGTTCTTCAAAAACAGGTGTCCTAAAAGTGTGATCGTCCTCTGGTTACAGAGAATTCATTTGTTACCTAAACTATGACCAGCAATGGATACACCCCCTTTGAAATCAGGGTTTCTCTGCAGAAAAAGTGTATATATTCGGTTCATTTCAGAAGCAACTGTGTCCACAATAGTCTGACAGTAGGTGGGGCTATTGTAGAAGAAGACATCCAGAATTGTGTCATTGGTGAAGTGCCTTAGGCGATTAATGCTGGGCAGGGTTATTCGCTGTAGATCTCTGAAAAAAAGGAAAGATGTTTTAAGCAGAAAACCAAAATACACCTGGCCGGAGTGCTCAGTGGTTGAATGTCAACCCATGAACCAGGAGGTCAGGGTTCGATTCCTGGTCAAGGCACATGCCCAGGTTGCAGGCTCCATCTAGGTAGGGGGCATGAAGGAAGCAGTCGATCAATGATTCTCTCTCATCATTAATGTTTCTCTCCCTCTCCCTTCCTATTTCTGAAATTAATAAAATATATTAAAAGAAAAAAGAAAACCAAAATACATTCTGTAACTTCCTCTAAGTTATCTAGCTTAGCCTCCAAGTTTAGACTTAGATAGTTAAAGATACAAGAGGCAATTATCAACTTATAGGAAATAGAGGACAGAGAGAAAGGTTTAACGAAGCCAAAGGGATGTGATCAACAAAATTCAGAAACAAACAACTCAGTTTCTTCAATACATAAATTGCAAGAAAATAACAGATGGAAAAGTAATCAAGAAATTAAAAGAGACTTAAAAGGCATCCTTGGATTCTAGCTTAAACTATGTATATATATATGTATGTATGTGTGCATTTGTTTATTAGAGAGAGAAAAACATCGATTTTGCGTGTGAGTATGTATATATTATATATGTGTGTATATATAAATCATAAGATTTATAAAATTGGAAAATTGAACACTGTATATTTGCTGATATTAAGAATTTTTAGGTGTGAATAGTATTACGGTTATATTTTATTAAAAGTCCTTTAAAACATACAAACTGAAGCATTTATAGAAGAAATAATATATCTGTGATTTGACTCAAAAACAATATAATGGAGGCATGGGCAGTAGACAGGGGTATGTTGACAGGGATAGGGCCAAACTGGCAATGTGTTGAGGCTTGTTGGGAATGGGTAATCATAATCAGTACAGAAAAATTCATCATATATCCTACTTTTGTGTAAAGAATTCTCTGTAATAAAAAGGATTTTTTTAAAGACAAAAGAGCCCTGGCTGGTGTGGCTCAGTTGGTTGGGCATTACCCCATGCATCAAAAGTCTGCCGGTTCTATTAGTAGTCAGGGCACATGCCTGAGTTTCTGGCTCGATCCTCAGTAGCGGGCATGCAGAAGGCAGCTGACAATGTTTTGCTCTCATATCTATGTTTCTCTCTCCAAATCATTTTTTTTTCAAATCATTTTTTTTTATGTTAAAAATACAAAAGATACAAGAGGGTTTCCCCAGAATCCTCAGCATTAAAGTTGTTTGATCACAAGCCAAATGACAAATTAGATCAGCTCTCAATGTAGAATTTCTTAAAGTTGAAAGAAGCCAAAGGCAAACAGAACTCATGTCTCGCAAAGGAAAACCATGCTGACATTTTCTAAATCAACTTCCAGTTAAAACTTTCTCAAAATTCCCAGAGAAATTCCTTAAAGATTCAACAGTTTCTGTAGTTTAGAGAGGGCTAAATGACCTTAGTCACCTCTGAGCATCAGCTTAAATATGATGTGAACGTCACACCCATTAAAATAAACACTACAGCCCTAACCGGTTTGGCTCAGTGGATAGAGCGTCAGCCTGCGGACTCAAGGGTCCCAGGTTCGATTCTGGTCAAGGGCATGTACCTAGGTTGCGGGCACATCCCCAGTAGGGAGTGTGCAGGAGGCAGCTGATAGATGTTTCTCTCTCATCGATGTTTCTAACTCTCTATCCCTCTCCCTTCCTCTCTGTAAAAAATCAATAAAATGTATTTAAAAAATAAAAAAAAATAAAAAAAATAAACACTACAGTGGAGCATCTGGCACATGGAATATGCTCAAATCCTAGGTCATTAAGAACTTGGGAAACACAGAATCAGGGAAGCCATTTCCAAGACCAGCATGGAAATAATGCTGACCCCTTTCTTTATCTTCTAAAGAAGCATCTCCTAGTTCTATCTCCTAGTATGATGAACATACTTCTTTCTGGAGAGTGCATAGCTGAATATCCTTAATATAAGGCAATCTTCTCTGACATTACCATAAAATTTACAAACAAAACTATTGGGCTTGTAACTTAAGAAAACCATCACATAAAAGGAGTTGCACCAATTATACCCCAAGGTATAAATGCTAATAATTTAATGTTTGGGGATTTCCCTTTTTCCCAAATTGGGACAAATATTATCTAAATATGGTCATAAAAGAAACAACAAAAGCCCTAGCTGGTTTGGCTCAGTGGATAGAGCGTCGGCCTGCAGACCAAAGGGTCCCGGGTTCGATTCAGGTCAAAGGCACATGCCCGGGTTGCAGGCTCAATCCCCAGTGCGGGGTGTGCAGGAGGCAGCCGATCAATGATTCTCTCTCATCAGTGATGTTTCTATCTCTCTTTCTCCCTCTCGCTTCCTCTCTGAAATTAATAAAAATATATTTTAAAAAAAGAAACAACAAAATACTATATACATCTTAAGGTAGGTGGACTTTTGACATCCGAAGATGGAAATGTTTATACTCTAAAGGGAGAACGCAATGTTTGGCTTTAATGCTAAAGAAATAAGAAAAGCTGCAATGGTAAATACTAATGAGCCAGTAAAACATACTAGAAGAAAATACAAACAGCTCTTTATTCCTAACTTGGACTAGTTAAACCAAGGTACTAGTTAGCATTTATTATTATTTTTTAAATATCTCTATAATTGATTTTAGAGAGAAGGGAGAGGGAGAGATAGAAACATTAATGATGAAAGAGAATCATGGATTGGCTGCTTCCTGCATGCCTCCTACTAGAAATTGAACCCACAACCCAGGCATGTGCCCTGACCAGAAACTGAACAGTGACCTGATTCATGGGTTGACACTCAACCATGGAGCCATAAAGACAGAAGTACAAAAATCTTTTCGTTGAACAAAATTTTAAATATACAATCAGTTATTGCAGAAATGTCCCTAAGCATTCTAATGATCAGAGAACACATTACAATCACGGTTGGTATTACTTACACATCCACACCAGTAGAATGCAAAGGACTGTGCCAGTTGACTGGAAGAAATTCTATCCTCCCAATCTGCTGATTTTCTTGGGCTTTCTTAAAATGCGTTTGTAGCAGGTTTAAGGAAACACTGCGAAAATCATTAACTGAAAAGAAAATGAACTTATGCATCAACAGTGAAGCAATGAATTTGCAATAGGTCATATAAATATAATCTCTATCTACATTTGCTTAGAACATGCATTTACTTGAGTCAAAAGTAGCAAAGTGGTATTCAGAAAAATTATGAATGCATATAAGAAAAGCTGTTCCTTTAATACTTGCTTTTACTATACAATACTAGTATATTTCATCAAAGAAAAAGCTAACTTCAAAATTTCTAATGTGTCATGGGAACTGTTTCAATTTTAAAAAGAAAAGAAAAATATCACATAACTTGCAGTCAGATTCCAATTCTAACTTTCTAGTTCTTACAAACAACCACTACCCAATATTTTAGATTTTAAAAAAATACACAGCTGTTTGAAATTCATATTATATCAATCTTAACCTTCTAAGAAGGGTTAGGCTTAGAAGCATCAGCCAGTAGGATAAGTCAAATTGGGACAATTAGACTTTAAATACTATCAAGTTTTAGAGGACACTACCTTTCAAGATCAAGTTATGCTAATGATCTAAATAGTCCAATTAGAATTTCAAGAGGTTTATCACAGTATGAATTACAAAAATGACTGGTTTCTGTTATTCATTTAAACTATATCATCTTTACAGTTTCTTTAAATTTGGAATGGTTAGACATAGGATTACCACATCATAAAAGCATTTTAAAGGATTAAAGGCTTATTCATTCAAGAATTATTAGTTAAGAGTATAAACTATTAGCCTACGGAATTCACTAGTACTTTATGCCTCAGATGGGAAGCTTTACTATCTTGCCACCTGTCTTGAGCGCTCCAAATGTTTTTATGCAGCTGGGATAATAGACTAAAGACAACATTTTATTTCAGCTCACAGGAGCACTGACTAATATTCCCCTTAAGTGACCTAATCTTACATGCTTTGCAAACCTACCACATTGTACAATGCTTCGAAAGCGGAGATCACAAGCTGGTCCAATCCCATGGACTACAAAAACCAAATGGTCTATTTGTAAAGGTTCCCCTTTAAATGAAATTAAAAAGAAAAATTATTCTACAGAACTAGTCCCATATTCTAAAATCAAACATTCACAATGAATGGGTTATAAAAATAAGCAAGTTGAAATATGAGCAGATAATTTAATGGACACAAAATAATCCTGCATATAACTACTTAGTAAAAGCACAGTGATTTTACTTTGTTTCTAATTTATCTTAAAATAAGTCTGTGAAAAAATTTTCACATTTTTAAAACTTTTTACTTTGAAATAACTGCAATCTTACAGAAAACCTGGAAGAATAGTACAGAAACTCACATGTACTTTTTACCCAGATTCAACACTCTAACATTTACCAATATGCTTCATTATGCATACATACACATTTATTTTTCTGACCAGTTAGGAGCAGGTTGCATACATCAGACTGCACACATCATACCTCTTAAACCTTTAATATTTAAATGTATATTTCCTAAGAATATTCTCTTACATAACCACAGTGCAGTTATTGAATTCAGGCAATTTTTAACATTAATAAATAATCTTACCTAATATTCAATTTTTATCAATTGTACCAAAAATGTCTGGCATGTATTTGAAGCCTAAAGTTATAAACCCATCTTTTTAATTATAGTATATCTAAGACTTTGTGCAAGAGACAAGCTATCACCTCTGCAAGATAAAAAGAATTTTGTAATCCAGTTAAATACATTATAAAACTAAACATAAACGACCCTAGATAGCAATGGATAACTATCAAGGTTGTACTGGAAAATACTTTTCCTTAGTTGAAAATCTTCAACAACAGGAGTTACAAGTACTAAATTTCTAATCAAACAGGTGGAATCATATTTCTTAGAATTAGGACTAAGTCAGTTCATCTGTACTTAATGAATTTCTGATTAGTACTGCAAAATTTTATCCATCCTACTATACATACTTAGCAACTTTAAAAGAGATTTTTCTACCTATTAAGATTCGTAGTAGGTGAAGTGATGCTAATATTAACTCCAAATAAGCTCATATAATTAAAGATCATGCTTAAGCCTTGAGGTACTCCAAAACCATAGAAAAAGGTCACAATGTAAGCCATAAATAAATCAGTATATCAGAAGATAAGAAAAAATTTAATAATTAACATTACCACAATGAATGTCAACAGAGATGTTCTCAACCCCTCTCTTCACTGTTCTTGGTCGACCCTGCTCAGTGGGTGTGGAACCCCATTCATCAGACCCTGCAACTGGCTGGTAATGCACCATAAGCTTAAATAGAAAAGATGCCAAAAACTGTTTAATCCTATAAGCTATTTTCAGCACATACCACTGAATCTTTTCTGGTTCTATAGTAGTTTAATCAATAAAATAAAACATTCACAATGAATAGATATGAAGATATTCTACATTAAAGACATCTCTATACAATGAGGGGCAGGAACATGTTTTTCAAAACATAATACATAGTCAAATCTCAAATTGAGTTCTGATATGCAATTACTACAGTTGGAAATGAGAACCCTGAAAATATATTTGGCTAATGTTGTACAATTTAAATATCTTATGCCCGGTTGGGTCACTCAGTTGGTTGAGCATCGTTCCATACACCAAAAAGTTATGGGTTCAGTTCCCAGTCAGGACATGCACCTAGATCAGTGATGGCGAACCTATGACACGCGTGTCAGAAGTGACACGCGAACTCATTTTTTTGGTTGATTTTTCTTTGTTAAATGCATTTAAATATATAAAATAAATATCAAAAATATAAGTCTTTGTTTTACTATGGTTGCAAATATCAAAAAAATTCTATATGTGACACGGCACCAGAGTTAAGTTAGGGTTTTTCAAAATGCTGACACGCCGAGCTCAAAAGGTTCACCATCACTGACCTAGATTGTGGGTTCAATCCCCAATCAGGGCATGTACGGGAGGCAGCCAATGGATGTTTCTCTTGCACATGGATGTTTCTCTCCCCTCCCCTCCCCTCCCCTCCCCTCTCCCCTAAATCAATAAAAATATCCTTGGATGAGAATTAAAAAACTAAAAAAATCTTATAATTTTGTCAATTCTATCTCAATAAAGCTAAAAAAAAAAAAGAAAACAAACATCAAGCTAACAGACTTTCAACAATAGCGTACACATGGAAAAACATGCCACATAATGTATTAGTGATAGTCTGAATTTACAGAGGCATAACTTTCCCTAAGAAAATATTTTGTATAAAGTGAACAGGTAAATAAAAATGGTAGTGGCTACAACTTTTAAGTTTCATAATTGTTCACATAATATAAAATTCCCAAAGGACATCCAAAGAAGAATTCCTAAGAAAAAGAAACCAATAAAAGTTCTCCTTAGTAATGCAATTAACTTTCAATCCCAATATTAGAGAAAGGCTTTTTAATTTGCTTTACCTTTGGATTGTGTAATACAATAATTTCTCTGTTGGGAGACTCCAGTTTCTTTTTCCAGTCATCCTGAGTTACAGCAAGCATGTAAGTTTCCTTAAAAGAAAACACATTTCATTACATTTCTCTTATTGCTTTCCTATTAAAACTAACCTTATTCAAGAGGATACTACTAAGTAAACAATTACAATAAGAATATCCTATTCCAATTAATTGAATTCATTTTTAAAATTACAACAGGTAATAGTATGGGACAAAGAAAACAAATCACTCCTACTTCCATCATCTAGACTGGAGATAAATATTTTTCACATTCTGATATATTTCTTTCAATAATATTAATGCATGTATATTTTCCATAAAATTAGGAATATATTACATATATAGCTCTTTCTCTTGATTTATCAAATTTATTTTAAAATTCTTTTTAAATGCAACATTAATATAGGACAAAGAAAAAAATCAATCCTAATTCCACCATCTAGACTAGAGATCATCATTGTTCACATTTTTATATATTTATTTCAATAATAATAATGTCCTACTTTAAGCAAATTTCAGGCAGTTTTCAGAGCAAGAAAAATAAAAGGCAAAAAGAAAATCCTGTGGTCATAGTTTAAATATTAACAATAATCACCATTAGGGAAAACACTTTTTCATTTAAGGGCATAACAACTTCCATAGTATATTTTAAAATCTGGAAATAAAAACTACTTTATCCTGAAACTAATTTGCACAAAGAAAGACTATAAACTGTGTGCAGATAGAACCAAACTCTTCCTGAAATTTTCAAAACAATATAAGTCATAGAGGAAGAAAAGATTAAATAAGAAAAAAAATAAAGAAAATTAGTTTAAAGGGGTAAAAGGAATACCTCTAATACTTGGCTGAAGCTCTCTGAATAGGGAACATACTTATTATCTTTGTCTCCCTTGTAAAACCAGGTACATCGTCTCACTTCTGATGCTTGCTCATCCCAATACACAGCATACCGCATCCTCTCCCCCAAATGAACGTCATACCGGCCCCCATCGGTGGGGACAACTTTCCCATTACAATCTTTTCCTATCAAGAATTGAGAAGAGGAAAAGAAGTACATATATAAAAATAAATCTCCCGAAATACAGTTCTGAGTTATACTCTAAATAATGTCAAGAAACACATGAATGAACATTTTCTACTTGGATAAACATTAAACAAAATGGAATTTAATTGCTTCCACTATTTTACAAACCATCAAAACCATTATTGGTTTTAATGAAACATGAAAAAAATAATACCAAAAACTGTTCTGTTCTTTTTCTGAGGAGATAGTAGTGTCCCTTTAAAAAAAAGAAAATGTATATAGCCCTCGCCAGTTTGGCTCAGTGGATAGAGCATCGGTCCAAGAACTGAAGGGTCTTGGGTTCAATTCCAGTGAAGAGCACATACCTCCGGGGCGTGTGCGGGAGGCAACCAGTTGAGGGGTCTCTCTCACATCAATGTTTGCCTCTTTTTGTCTCTCCCCCTCCCTTCCAGTCTCTCTAAAATCAATGGAAAAATATCCTTGGGTGAGGATTAACAACAACAAAAATGTATTTAAGCCTGGCCAGTGGCTCAGTGGTTGAGTGTCCACCTATGAACTAGGAGGTTGTGGTTCAATTCCTGGTCAGGGCACATGCCAGGTTGCCAATCAATGATTCTCTCATCACTGAGGTTTCTGTCTCTCTCTCCCTCTCCCTTCTATACACACACATATATTTATTTTAATGTATATAAGACAGCTTTTTTAATTTTTTCCTCGAGGGACCAAAAGGTAAATTAATGACCATGACCATCATGGTGATAAAGTAGTAACTAGCATCATGTTTCATAAAAGAAGAAAAAAACAAGTGACAAATTAAAGAATTCATTCTGTTACAATGTGAATGTGACCTCCCCACACATACACACTCTTTATAAACAAAAACTGAAACATAACCTAGAACTAAGAAATATTATTGGATAACTATGCAGAAATTACAATAGGTACTGAGATACAGACCAAATTCTTAAACATTATCAATTGTCTGGGTAGTAATGCAGAGCTTCTGTATAAAAATGCTATAAGGGATAACTAGGGGGAAAATCTAAAATTTACTTTTAATAGCATTCACTATAAGGACTAATATTATAGTTTGAGAGAGATGACATTAAGTCTTTGTCTATGATAAGTCATTTTTCTCCTACCAGAGCTATATGCTTCTTCCAGCTGCTGTGAATCCTCAGAGTTGAAAGGAATCCATGTCTCCTTAGAATCTATAACTTTACAATAAAACCAATGAGGAGAAACTGGTTCATACAAACTGCCAGCATCCATGTCTATTAGCTCAAAGGAACTACATGAGTTTGGTGATGGGGATGGATCTGACAAGTCAACTGTTTCTGGTGTGATTCCACTGATGACATTTCTCTCTCTAAAACACAAGATAAAAGAAAACTATCAGAAAAATTATATTCCTCCTATTAACAGCCATTTCTGCAAAACAACAATAAAAAACCAGCAATCTAGGGGGGGGTTACATAATTTAAAATAGCGATTAATTTATTTTATATTAATAGCTGGATGGAGGGGTGGAGAGGACAGTGCTTTAAACAAAATGCTTCTTGTAGTCAGAGCAACCACTTTGTACTGATCTCCCAATTCTCTCAGAAAATTGCATGGTTTTAGACAAGTTATAAAACAAACCCAGAAGCACAAGGAACACATGGTCAAAAACTTGATTGCAACAAAAACACTTTACCCCAATTTCCAATCTTAGTCTGGTGCCAAAGGCAAAAATTTTGCTCCCTCTTAACGCCTACTATCCAGGCCCCCTATCATTACCCACTTCCATGATTAACTGGAATCTTAAAATATTGAAAATAAAACTATTCACTTAAGAACCAGTCGCTTTTCATTGATCCTTGAGGTGTGCCGAATTAGGGACTCCGATACAGATTCAGACCGCAAACACGAACCCTCGCCTGGGGCCACTGTGCGCACGCGCGCGCCCACTGACACCGTCCGCGTCCCAGGTAGAGTAACAGGTGACCTCAAGAGCCGCCTTCCCTTAAAAGCCGGACCGACGCGTCTCTATGCCTCCAGCACGCGGAACACTCAGCGCACCCTGCAGTGCAGACCTGGGGAGTGTCCTGCAGCACCCCCGACCCCCGCGGACCGCGCACGACCCCCCTCGCTCGGCCACACAAATCACCCGGCCACCGGGGCGTGTCTCTTCGGCCCCACGAACCTCGACGCCTGCAGCCCAGATCTCGGACCTTGGAGCTCGGGGACCGGTCTCCGACCGCCTCCGGCCCCGCCGAGAGGAGCGGGGCCACCCATGGAAACAAGGCAATTTGGGGCACAGTCGATACAAAGGGCCACTTCCCTGGAACCGAAATCACCCCCACCCGGCCGGGTCCTCCCAGCACCTCCATTCCCGGCCTCGGGCATCGCATCCTCCGCTGCCCCGGCATCTCCATCCCCCGTCTCCATCCCGCACCTCAGTCGGGCCTCCCTCGGTCCACCGGTCCACCGCCCACCCCAACTCGCCGTCGCGTACTCACCCGGCAACCTCGCTGCCTTTCACGCTCTCCTGCCCTCGCTGAGGGGGACACGACA